AGAATAGGTCAGATGATGGCACAACATAATGTTTGAAATGGAATCGAACTCTCAACGACACAAACGATAATAACTTGAATTGAAGTGCTGGCAGTTTCGTTGATTCAACATATTCTTTAAATATGCGAATGGTTTAATAGTGAACAACACGGAACTAGTGAATTTGCCTTACTTACCACGTTTGAACTTGTCCTCATGTTTATCAATCGCAACAATCTGTTTTGCACCAACCGCTTTCGCACCCATTATAACGGCTAGTCCAACAGCACCTAGTCCCCATACAGCCACGGTACTTCCCTTCTCAACCTTACAATTATTTATGACCGCACCGTAACCCGTCGAGATACCACAACCCAGTAGGCACACCTTGTCTAGCGGAGCTTTATCGTTTATCTGAATGAATGCAGTTAATAAGTTTTCGTTTGATTATTTAGACAAGAGAATGAAACAATACAAAGTGATACAATGATATAATTGGATGTGGCTGATGTGAGCTCGAATGATGAGAATGAGAAATGGGATTGAATTCAAAAAGTCAACAAAGCGATTACCTTGCACACCGAAATGTCAGCCACGACTGTGTACTCGCTGAATGTGCTGCAACCCATAAAATGATAGAGCGTTTTGCCCTTGCACGAGAAACGAGCCGTTCCATCGGGCATCACGCCACGTCCTTGAGTTGCACTGTAAATTACCACTGACCATTATTATCAGCCATAAAATTAGTTTCTGCTAAATCTTTCTCGCTAGTGAGAAATTTTGATCAATCGTAATAATCGTGTGAAAACTTTCAGAGAAAAATTTTTTTCAGAAAAAGGCCGTAAAATAGAAAGACTGGAACTTTGTAAGGATTCAATAAGTTTGTTGAACATACCGAATTTTTTGGCAAAGATTCGTTTTTGGATTCTTACAGAAATCACATTCTTTGCATTGTGGTGTGTACAATGGAATAACATGATCGCCTGAAATGTTGTTCAGTGGAGTTCCTTCAACATCACACATGGAACAAGAAATATTTCATAGGCATTCGAAGCACAATAATCAATCAATTCAAAACAAATTAGGAAAATTTAATCAGTGTGGTGGGTCGATAGAAATTGCACATATGAAGAAAACTATTCACAAACCTGGTTTCACATTAGTCACTCCTTCACCAACACTCTCCACAATGCCAGCACCTTCATGTCCAAGAATTGAGGGGAAGATACCCTCAGGATCGAGACCGCCCAACGTATAGGCATCCGTATGACAGACTGCCGTGTAGAGGATCTGTAATTCATGTGAAATGGTTTCATTTTGAGAACGAATTCTGCAACAATTTCTTTTTTAACGATTCTAGTGATGCTTTTTGAAAACGAATCATTCTGCTAGAAACAATGCATCTATCAGTCGAACAATTGCAACAGAAAATTTCCAACCTTGATTCGCACTTCGTGCGATTTCGGAGGATGAACCTCAATTTGCTCGACTGACAAGGGTTTCTTGGCTTCCCAAGCAACCGCAGCTTGGCATCTAATGATCTGAAAGGGAAGAAATTCGATCGTTGTTCCAAGACACCGATACATTTTTATATACGGCAAATATACACCAAATCATCTCAGGCGTTTATGCAGAATAATTGTTCAATTCATATGAAATGAGTGCCACAGAAACACTTATAGTCAGGTAGGCATGCATATTCACTTACAAAACGAAAAAATCGCTCATGCGCTCTGAAATGTACGGGCGTTTAAATAGTAAGAGAAATCGATCGTTTCATATTTTTCATCACAACCACTTCTACTTCCTCTATCAAGCATTCAGAAGTGTTTTCAAGCGGAATGTATCGGCGAGAGAATAATTCGGAGCTACTTTTGTGAAAAGTTTATCAGTTTCACTGGCTAATCAAACCGCCCGCGTTCGTTCTCTCAAGTCACCATCTTAAG